CGAATTAACGACTTTTGACTGTATAATGAATGGTAACGAAAACAGTTATCACAGAATTCTGGTGCCCGAATATCTGGGATTGCAGGACAAGAAAAAAGGACAATTTTAAATAATTAAACTTTTCTATACTATTTAACGATTCGATATCATGAATAGTAGTTTTAAACTGTGCCAGAAATTTGAGCATTTTGCCATCAAATTTTTCGATTACTAAACGAGGAAGTTTAATCTGAGCAGAATTCAAACCTGATATTATCAAATTAGAATACACAGAATTATTCTGCACTTTATTTTCATGTGGCTTTCTGAGATACCTGTTTACATGTGTTTTGCAAATTGAAGTTTCTTCTTTATAATTTTCAGTAGACATTATGTGCTTTTCTAATTCAATCGTATCTGATATATCCTCTCCTATTTCTTTATTTAATTCTAACAAATCTCATTCTTTCTTTGTTAATACTTAAGACAATTCTTTAATCAGTTCAGTATTCAGAATAACAACATTTAGTTCTGTTTATAAATTTTTGATAATTTTCATTGCAGTTGTTCTTAGCGCTGTGCACTTCTTTATATTCTTCTCAAGACTTCATTATCAAACAGAAAATTTGCTCTTACCTAGTGATGTTCCCTAAATTATAAATTTACTTGTGTGATTTTAGCAACTGCCAATAATTCACTAAGAAGGAATTGTATTGTTTATACCTGTGTTAAGCTGTTTTAAGTTTTTTACTGCATTGTTTATTATCAATATTTTGTAATAAATGAATTTTTACCTTTATTTTGGGGGTTTAATTAAGAGAGCTATCAAAGAACCACTCGCCCACTACAATATTAAGGAATGATAGGTAGGGGTCTATTCTCTGTAGTGCTGCTGTTTCTTAAAATTCCTTAGTATTATACGTATATATTATAACGTTTTCTGCTGCTTTAGTTCAGATGATAGAGATCAAATCAGTTTAGAAAAAGGCTTGGCACTTTAATCTAGCAAAATTTTAGATAGGATATTTTAGAAGAGAGATTTGGAAGCAAGAGGGATTTTTCATCATGTTTCGAACTATGAATCTGGTAAGAAAGACCCAATGCAGCTACAATTTTTTGAGCATTTAATGCTGGACCTATTTCTACAGAATTTTTTTTACTTTAAGATTTAAAGGTTTAAAAATTTATGCCCATGGAAGAAATTAAAAGAAAAATTGTTAAATTACTAACTTTCATGAATCCATCATTAACAAAAGTATTTTTCATAACATATAATGCATATCAATAAACTTTTTAAGCAATTTTCATTGTCTTATATATGTATATGTTACCAGCAAAGTATGAAACGCCAGCATTCTATAGAATGCCTACGCATTGCATATAATGCCAGATGATTTTAAGTTAAGTATGAAATAAGAGAATTATTACATACTTTACCTATGCATTGTATATAATACCAAGGCATTCTATAGAATTACAAATGCTCTTTAGGCAAAGTATGAAAAAAAGGGCTATGATAAGGATTTAAAAGAAGTTCATTCCTCTAAAATACAAATGTCATTTTGAAAAATTTTTGAAAGAGTGCCTAATTAAAAAACTGTTCTTTGAAATATTAAAAAAAAAAAAAAAAAAAAAAAAAAAAAAAAAAGATAGTGAGGTGATCTTGATACAGCATAATGAATTTGTACTTTCTATCTCGCTGAGATTGGGAATCGGTAAGATCTACCTGACAACAGAAGTTAAATAAGTTTCACATCAGTGCCCTTTTTGTTTTTTCTGGCAGGGCTCAAAATGGTGGTTGTTACAGTTCAATATCATTACGTGTAACGTTTTTGTATTTGGTTGAAAGTTCTTTTGACATTCTGTCACGTCATTCCTGTGCAATACTCAAATAAGTTTTCATGAAATGCAGAAAATAACTCAGCGTCCATGACGCAATACTGTATAGTAGTAACGCTTTTCTTTAACAGGGTAAATGAATGCATTTTTCTAATCCAATGATTCAGAGGTAAGTAGTCCCGCTTAGTAGTCATTTTGGCTTTTTTACGTCATTTAATAACTTCTGATAAGTAGTAATTCACAAGTCAAACAACAAAGTAGATTTGGTCCTTCGAAACAAATCAGAAATGTATTTCCTGCTTTGCCGATTTGTCATTTGGCATTCTACAAAATGCCTAGGAAATGTGCGAAATATGAATAATTTCATGCATTGCGAATTACAGTCAATTCCGGTTAATCGAACCACATCGGGAAGCAATCGTTTTGGTCCTAACAGGCAGCTGGTGCGATTACACGAACATGTCCTATATTGTAAAACGAGACGTGCTATATGTAGCAAACAGTAAATGTATGTAAATCATGTACTAAAATGCAATTATGAACTTTATGGTGTGGTACACACGTATGGTGAACATACATGTACAAACAACAAATACAGTCAAACTTTTTTCATTGAGAAAATTAATTTAGAAACAAACTCTAAGAAACAATGAGAAAATTAATTTAGAAACAAACTCTAAGAAACAATCTCCACGATACTCAAAATGCAAAACACAATAAAAACAATTTCTTACCAAGTTCCAGTCAACATTTGAAGAACTTGTGATTTTGAAGAAAAATGTGATCTGACGCGTTCTCTTGACGGACTGCACGTGAACAAAATCACCACAAACATCTAACGCAGCAATGGGACTGCCTTCATTTCGCTCCTGCATGTAATACTAACGCAAAGTTTCAATGTATTTCCTCGCATCCTACGTTGTCACTTGCACCAACTTACCATGTGCACAGTTCACTGACTAAAGTGGTCTGAAAAACCTTGGTGTTTCGGGTTCAAGATGTTGAGGTGAAGAGGGAGATAAAATGCTCGCCATTCAAAGCTTTGGCACTAAAATCATCCCAAAAAGGTGATGAAATCATAGCTTTCTCGTGTAAACTTTAATCATGATTGACAGGCAGGAATTCCTTTCAGATGGAGCCGGATACTCTATTGTTCATTTCCTCGAAACTCGGACGCGCAGATCAAAGAAAATGGTGCACATGTTTACATCCCACTGGTTTTGGTTTTGTCATGCACTTTAAGGAATTCCTGACCATAGATAAAGCATTTTCCTGGGAAGCCACAACTATAGATTTCAAACTTTGTTGATAACATTTACGGTACAGAGTTCGTAATCGGAACTCGTCGGGACTTCAGCAATTCCGAATTAAGGATAATAGATCATCAGTTTAAATCTGGTAAGATGGCATGCAGAAACTATACAATTAAAAATATGAAACTGTAATTTATGAAATAAAGAGCAATTATGATCTAAAGGGTATCAAAATTTACAAAAAAAAAAAGGCTTAATATTTTTTTGTTTACTTTACTAAACATTTCTTTCAATGTAAGTTGTTTAAACTGCTTCTTTTGTGCTAAACATGCATGCGTAAACATTAAACGCACATGCATAGCATTAAACGCGCATGCGTAAACATATACAAAAAACGTTTGTGGCTTTGAGGTCCGGATAATGGACGTCCAGATTACAGACTTTGTACTATATATGTAATGAAACAAACTTAGCAATATTGATGGCATAGAATGCTGATCCATTCTGAAAAGCAAACTTGGCATACGAAACGGATTATATATACATTTTTATTTCAACTGACATTTGCGGCCACAATTCATTTGGTACTTAGTGCCTATTCAAGAACATGTACATGTTGATATTTTTGCAACAGGAGGAGAGTAAATAAAGAGAAATGACTGCACACAACAATAACAGCAATATTTAAAGACTTTTCCCCTTTATTTAACCCTCTGAGCATTACAGGATTTAAGATTCGTCATGAAGACCAGTATTTAAACAGCGTTTATTAATTGAGTTTGCATAATTACTTATTTTAGTCTGTATTTTCACAAACTTACATTCATTAAGATAATATTTGCATTATTAAAGAAAGTAAGAAAGCAAAATATCTTAAATTATAAGGCAAGTAACAAAACTTCTGATGACCGGATAAAGTCGGCCATAACGCTTCAGAGGGTTAAATTTTGAGCTCTGCGATTGAAAGAGAGCCATCCGCAATATGGGGAAATTATGCAAGCAAACATGATGCATTTATTTGCATAGATGCAGTCAAAAGAAATTTTAAACCATTGTAGATGCTAGTAGGGGAACATATAAAAATCTAACGAAATTTAAAGAGGTATTGCTAATTAAGTTAGTAATTTACAGATATTTATTTTCCTATTTTATATTTTACTACACACAGACATATATATATACACACATATATAATTAAAATTAAAATTGAATGAAAAATTTGAAGAAAATTATACATACTATATACTGTAGTGTAAAAATACATGTATTTTATGACTGTATTCAAACCCCACAGTAAAGTCGCAAAAAACTATTCATGAGGTAAAGCAGTATGTCATCAAAAGTAAATTAAAAGTTAAAAAATAGTAAATTAAGAGTACATTTCTTTAAGACTAACTGAACTGCCATGAAAAAATTAACAGATCTAATGATGAATTATATTTTGCTGCTCATTCTCATCAGTAAAAAATTATTATAGGCCATGTTACTGGGCTAATAAATTTTCTTTAAATGTATTTAGCAATAGGAAACATAATACACAGTTTAGGGAATGTCATCTATGTCTTGTAACTGATAAAAGTTACTTAACAAACAGAACATATTTTATGAATATTCCTCATCCAAAAATATCTACATTATTCCATGTAATCAAATATGCCTTTCAAATATTTATGCAGGATTAACTTTGAAAATGTATATAATACCATTTGCTAAATTTATAAACACATACTATTTATACAATGTTTACAATATTTACAACAAACCCATTACTATGACATCAGCACACTTATCATTGCATTGTAACATGAATAAACAAGCTCTGTTAGTTCCTAAAACAAATTCTGCTAACAATGTATTGTTTAAAAGTATAGCCTAAGACATTACACTGACTGCAAAAGTTAAAGGTAGATTTAGTGAGAAAAAACATACCAAGTTGCTGATTTTCCAAAATAACTGAAATCAATTGCTCCTGCAACTGAGCCAACTGTGATTTATAACAAGCACTACAAGAATCTTCACTGTCCTTATCAGGATGAGGACACTGAAATAAAAATTATCATTTTTAATAAATAAAAGTACAAAGACTAGTACAATCAAAATGAATGACAACAAAATGAAAAATATCGGATTTTAATGAAAGCTTCACACCACAGCAAATATCGTCTATGAAAACAGTTCATGTTGGCATGTTTCATAATATTTTACCAAACGATTTTTTGGCATTTGAAAGAGACTTGCTTCAGAATACAGTGTTGCAAAATTTGTAAAAAAATATGTAAAAAATTATCATTAAATACAAAGTGTCTGAAATGGAACTATCAAGCTACCAGTCTACAGCCATTCTTTACTTCTAATTCTGTTGAAAAAAGTAAGCTACAGAATGTCACCAAATCAAGTGTGCTTAAGGTGCTAATGTTATACCATATGACATAATGAAAGTTTGGTACCGAAAGTTCAAAAATGAGAACTAGACACTGAAGAAGCAGAGTGCTCTGGCCAGCCTACTGATGCTGATGAGGCCCTCTTGTGAGAATTTCTTGAAGACGATCAGTATGTAACCACTCAAGAGCTTGCTAGGGAGTTAGATGTTAGTGGCATGTCCACCAATCGTGCTCTGTATCGCATAAACTTGACATACCAGTTCAGTCGTTTGATGCTGCAAGAACTGACTCAAGCAGATACGGACAGATGTGTTTGGACCTGGTACCATATCATCACTTGTGATGAAAAATGGACTTACTTTAACAACACAGGCTAAAAAGGTCTGCATCTGGTGAGCCTATCGGCAGCGTCTCAAAGCGCAATTTTGCTAATAAGAAGATCATGCTTTGTATCTGGTGGGACTGCCATGGTATTATTCACAAAGAGTATCTGGAAAGATGTAAAACCCTTGACAGTAACATGTATAGCAAGATGCCACTCCGTATTGATGCTGCTGTCAAGAAAAAATGTCAAACTGAGTTCCAATGCAAAAAGGAAATATTTAATCAAGATAATGCAAGACCATTTGTGTTTGCATTTACCAACTGAACTTTGTATGGACTCTAATTTGACTTTTTGTCACATCCACCATATTGTCTCAACATCACTCCTTCAAACTTCTACCTTTTTTCACACCTGCAGCTACATCTTGCTGGTGCTTTGGAACAGAACAGCTGAAATGAGGTTGATTTATTTTTGGACTCGCGGCCATTAAGTTTCTGGACCAAAGGCTTTAAAAAACTATCAAAACTTTAGCAGAAAATCATCAATTTGGGTGGTGATTACTAACCACACTAAAGGTACTGCTTTTTTTTTTTTTTTTTTTTCTAACTTTATAAGAATGTTTTTGGTGGAAAACTTTCACTACAACCAGATATTTTTGCACCAATCTCTTAAAATATTAATCAATACATACAGAAAGCCAAAATTAATGTTTTAAATTTTACTTTTCTTCAAATGACACACCTTTAACATACAGAACATTTGGCACTCTGATTTGGCTATTCTGAATCAGAACTTAAGGTAAGTATAAAAATTATGATAATTTGCCAATATACATCTGCCGCTTTTGCTGCAACCATGTTTATACAACGTGCACTTTCTAAGTTTGAAATAAGTCTTCTATTAGCTTAAATGTGTTGGGATGCTTCTATACTTTTACAATTTGTTATTTGTCTCATGGTCTCTTTGATTTCTACAGTTTGTTACTTTTATAATTTTCTGTTTATCTCATGGGTCTGAAGTGGAGTGAAATGGAATTTAATACCTCCTAAATAAATTAAAGGACACTGCTGAAAAAGTATTTGTGCCTTTAAAGTTATATTACAAGCATTAATTAAACAATTTCCATTAAAAACCCCAAAACAAGTAAGTCAGACCATTTTTACAATCAGCACAGCAATAACAGATATAACGGGTACTCAGATTGGCATCAAAGTTTTGCTGCCTTTTGGTCCCACATATTTCATTAACATTTGTTATTTCTGGAAATAATAAAAAATATCTATAGCTGGAAAAATGATTTAAAATTTTAATTTCTACATATCTCAACAGAAGTTTAATAATAAAACTTTTAATAACAAACCTACAATTTTCAGTCCATACTCAAAAAGAGATTTAAAAATTACAAAAATTAATTTATCTCCCTTAATTTTTTGTTAACCTCTTTGTAGTCCGTAACGCGTCTAGCACATTCAAGTGAAACTTCTGCAGGGTGGCCGCAACACACTTCAAGCATTCTTCTACCTTTAAAAACTTTTAAATGTTTAAAACACTTTCTAAATGTTTACTTGCTTGAGTTTTTTATATTTGTTTGATCTAATACCTCCTAGATGACTACAGTAATCAGGCATTCTATTTCTAATTGAATTTCCCCCCTGTTTTATGAATATTCGCACCATTTTACATAAGATAGAAGACAGTGAGAGATGGCTTCAACATATACTCAGCAGAAAAAGAGGAAAAAATGAGGTTGTGAATTGAAAAGACAAGAAGAATATACGTTTGATGAGTACAGTCCACAATAACTGGATGATTGATGTTGAAACATAGAAAAGAACTGTAAAAGAACCAATAATTGTAAAAGATTACAACCACAAAATGGGAGGAGTGGACCACCTGGATCAGATGTTATCACATTATCCTGCTGTTAGAAATAAGAAGAGATATTATTACTTTTCCATTATGCTTTATTACCTTATAATTTTACTTAATAGTCATTTATATTCATCCACTATGAAAGTTATAATGTACAGAGAAAACAACATTATCCGTTGTGAAAAATAAAAAGCCGATGGGGAGAAATTTTTGCGAACAAGAGAGGACAGCGAAAGGGTTAATGTGGCCCAAAGCCAAATGTGCTAATATCAGCTTCACACCATACAAAGGTTATTAACATTATATCCTGAATGCCAAAAAACACCAAGACTCATTTTTTTCGATTTTCATTTCTTATGTTTGCAATTAAGATTTTTATTTACAAACTGAACTATTTTTCTATTTTCCATTCTACATATCACAGTTAATTTGTTTCTGTTGAAACTGTGGTGGATTTTACAATTTAGCAATTATTAAATGATAGAAAAGCTGCCATCAGAATGCTATAAGATAGAGCAGTTGTCCATAAAGAAGAACAATGTTTGAACAAACACCAGATGAAATTTAGTTTGGACTGAAATTTAAACGGTTATGCCAACCACTATCATGCCAGAAACAGGAAAAAACAAAAAAGCCAAATACTAGAAAAGATTACATATTTCATATCTTAACTGCTGTTAAGTCTAGATATATATTGTGTCAAGTCTACATATATTCTGGTGATCCATACCCTGGTTTCACATATAGTAGAATTGCTCTGTTATAGACAAAGCTGTGATGACAGTGATAAGGAGCGTGCCTTGTGCCCTTGTTGCTGCCAATAAATACAGCAACCCTAAGGAGAAGTGTTTGGAGAAGTGCAGAGGAGAACAAGTTCTGGTTGTTGAGGAAGAGTATGCATATATGGTTCTGAAATATAAGATAAATTTTTATTGTGCATTACAAGTGCAGTGAGAATATTTAACACATCGACTGCCAGTCACTAGAGTTCGACTGATAGTTATTGCCACCCATATGAAAGAAAATTGTATCCAGATGCCAACATACTTATTATAAGAAATATGATTTAAAAATATTAATAAAAGATAATTATGTGATACCTAAGTATTATTTAAGCCTTTTATTAAAGAAGATTTTAATTACGTGCCAGTGCGTGATTGGCACTACATGTCAAAATTTTCCCCAAATGCCACATTACACGCTGGCACGTGGAATGTAAAAAAAAAATTTAAATAAGAAAAAAAGTGACAGTATGCATTATTTTTATATCAATATGTATTACAAACAAGTATACATATTACAAAGGAATTGATAACAAGAAAATTACAAAGACATTATACAGATACATCTAGAATGTTATTTGTGTATTATATTTGAACAATCTAAGCAGTACCTGGGAGATCCTTCACAAAATTTGCAAACATATATGGTATCTTTATGTTTCCCTTGGGCATAGCAACTTTTGCATTGCTTTCTTAGAATTTTTCCTTCTTTTTTTTCTTCCCGTGTACTCAGCACATGTTCAGATTCAGACCGATCACACACAGGAGTACAAAGAACAGATGGCTGTTTCAGTAAACTTTGTATCACGGATAAACGGTAGTCATACAGTGATGTATTTTCATTGGAATATTTATTACACATAAAGTGGGAATTGTTCATCATTATTTGCAAAACATGCACAAATATTTTCGTGGGCCACCTAATTATTTTTCTCTCACAAGGTTAATAAGCAAGCATCTGATCTTACTTATCAATACAGGCCATGAATTTATTATATTGAATTGCAGGTAGAGGTTTCGATTTAATTTCACCTCATTTGTTTGTTATTTCTGCCATATCATTTTTATATTCATTGGAAATGTGACGTCTCTGTTATCCTGCCACTTTGCAATCATCACACCATTAGCATACTTTGCTACAGTTTGTCCTTTCTTCAGTTTTTTTCGTTTACCTCTTTCAGAAATGTCTTTCTGTTCTTTCTGATTGTCCCAGTGCAATGAGTTTTCCTATCAGCAAGACATTTTGACAGTTCATAGCTGTTATAATAATTGTCCATAAATATGCTATGTCCTACATTCAGCATTCCCTCGAGTAAATTAATAACGACTTTTTTATGCATGTTCTTTTCCACCAGAATCATCCAACATGCTTGTATATATCATAAATTTCAGAACCATACCATCAGGGGTTGTGATCATGTAAAACTTGATACCATATTTGTGATGTTTATTTGGTATATACTCTCTGAATATAAGCCGTCCATGCCACAATACCATTGATTCATCTAAACTAATCTCCCACCCTGGGTAATATACTTCAGATACTCGCACGTTGAATAAATTCACCATATCTCTTACTTTATACAGTCGATCCTTTGGAAGCTCTGTATTCTGATCTGGGATTTTTGCGAAGTGCAATGCCCTCAGTAACAACAAAAAATGATTCCTGCTCATATTTTTT